AGAATATTTGAATTTCTGACATGACTGACAACTTTGAATATACTGAGTGACATCTTTTCGCATAGTATCCCAGTAGACTCGGCTTGAGAGACGATAAAGAGTTTTTTCTCTACCACTATGTCCGGCTGTCGGATGATCATGCGTCCAAGATAGGAGTTCTTGTTGCATAGATTTCGGAATAACGAGTAAGTGAGGAAGTCCGACTGGCCGTTGATAGATATTTTTTGATGAAGATCGACATTTATAGAGAATACCGTTAATTAGAGTAAAAGAGGGATAGGGATTATTAATGAATGGATGACTGAGACCGGATAGTTTATCAATAATAATGTGAAGGTGAGGGTCTTTATATTGTTCGATTCGGATATTTTCGAGGAGAGTACAATTGTCCCAAAAATGGAGTGTAGATGTATGTGTTGTTCCATTTAACACAGCTAGATTAGGGAGAGGGTAACAAGATAATGAATCAGAGTTTGTATTTGTTTTTCCTGGTTTATATTTGATGTTAACAATGTTAAATGCTGATAGACTTATTGCCCATCTAGCTAATCGTCCAGACGAATCTTTTGTTTCAAGAAGCCATTGTAGTGCCCTACAATCAGATCGAATATAGATTTTTGTACCTTCTAGGTAGGGCCGAAAATGTTTGGTGGCCCAATAAATAGCTAGAGCTTCTTTTTCTGTAGGAAAATAATTTCTCTCGGCTGCTGTTTGAGTTCGGCTAGCGTAAGCAATAACAAATTTTTTATTATCATATTCTTGAGTAAGGACAGCACCAAGACCATAATCACAGGCATCTGTTTCTAAAATGAAGGGTTCATTAAAATTTGGAGCTCGAAGTAGAGGAGCTTGAGTAAGTGCAGTTTTTAATCGTTCAAAGGCTATAGTACATTCAACAGACCATTCTATGTTATTTGTTGGACGTTTAGATTTTTGATGAGAACGTATTTTAGCGAGGAGAGGTTCAGATATTTTAGCGTAATCTTTTATAAATTTTCTGTAGTATCCAGTTAAGCCTAAAAATGATTGAATATCTTTTAATCGTGTAGGTTGAGGAAAAAGTTTCACGGAGTCGATTAGACCGGGATCAGGTTTAATACCGTCAGGAGTAATAATATGTCCTAAGTATTTTAATTCTTTTCTACAAAAATCACATTTTGAGGCTTTAAGAGTAAGTCCAGCAGTTTTGAGACGTTGAAAGACAGAGGATAAATCTTTGAGATGTTGTTCAAAGGTGGGAGAGAATACAACAATATCATCTATATAGACAAGACATGATTGCCTTTTTATTCCAGCTAATACAAGATCCATTAATCTCTGAAATGTGGCAGGAGCATTAGACAGTCCAAAAGGCATGACTAAAAATTCATAGAGGCCGCGATGAGTAATAAACGCTGTTTTATTACGACTTTCAGGATCAATTTCAACCTGCCAGTATCCCGATCGAAGGTCAAGAGTAGATATGAATTTAGCTTCTCTGAGTGAATCAAGAGTATCGTCAACTCGAGGCATAGGATATGCTGTACGAATTGTATTAGCATTCAACTTTCGATAATCAACGCAAAATCTGAGTGTACCATCTTTTTTAGGGGATAATACGATTGGAGATGCCCAAGGACTATGTGAAGGAGTAATATGACCAGCTTGGAGCATTTCTTCTAGTTGTTGATCGACTATAGCTTTTTTAGATGGGGGAAGACGATATGGTTGAGTGTTTGCAGGTTGTGTTCCTGGTTGAAGTTCGATTACGTGTTTAACAAGATGGGTGCGACCAAGTTTCTCGGTGAAAACTTGTGGATATTGTTTAATAAGTGTAGCTAGTTTAGCTTTTTGAATATCATTTAAGTCAGAATAGGATAAATCAGGGAGATATATTTGTTCTTCTTCAATAGGATGAGGTGTATGAGATAATTTTGATAAGCTATTCAACTGATGTTCAGTCAATAGTTCCATAACGGCTAGTTTTTGTTGAGGATGAACCTCGATAGAATCATGAGAAAAATTTGAGATTTCAATATAAAGTGATTTACTTGGTGAGATAAGACCATTGGCTACACGAGGATTTTCATGAAGTGAAGAAACGGAATATGTGTCCCCTGGGGAAAATTTAGAGAATGGTTTCGTAGGTTGGACAGGGATAATCATAGAGTGGTATGGGGGTAAAGAATGTGCTTCAATAGCTACTAAAGAGTATGATGACGAATTGGAAGAGGTGAGAGAAGAAGTGTTGCGCTGATCGAGAGATGGCGATTGAGATGCAAAAGAATTTGTATCTTGTGACTCCTTCGGGAAAAGAATTTGATCGTGAGTACCTCCGACATGAATATCATGTTTTCGTAAAAAATCCAAGCCGATGATACAAAAATGTTGTAGATGAGGTAGAATATAAACTGGATGTAAAAATGTCTTATTGAAAAAAGAAATGTTCAATTGGAAGAGACCGTGTGTACGTAAAGATTGTCCGTTAGCACAACGTACTGTTAGGGATGGAGATTTAATAGGGATAAGTTTGCATGACTTTTGCTCGATTTGACGAAATGCCTCTACACTAAGGACAGTTAAATTCGATCCAGTGTCAATAGTAAATTTTGTTGGGTACCCTTCTAATGTGCCATTGACATGTAATAGTTGGGAAGAAGGAATAAAAGAATTATGGATAGAACTAATAGAGAGAGAGGGTTTTTTATTTAGATAATTTTCGGAGTCCCGCCACCTCTCATCAGTAAGACTCCGTCGTAGTTTTTTGAATTTGAAGGATATCTAGAAGACTGAGTACGAGTACATTGGGATGCTAAATGTCCTGGAATATTACATTTATAGCAGATAATATGAGATTGACGAGGATTAGATGTGTGGGAGCTAGTTGACGAATGAAGAGTAGCTGAAATAGTAGTATTAGATTTTTCAATGTGCGTAGTTTGTTTGGAACGAGAAAAATCAATAAGTTCAGCTTCTCGGGCTCGCTCAAGAAAATTTTCAAGAGTAGGATCGCTAAGAACACCGATCAGAGGGACTAATTCAGGGCGAATTTTAGTAAAAAGATGTCTAACAAGATCACGCTCTGTTTCGTGCGGTTTATGTTCTGACCAGAGACTGCGTAAACGAACGAGAAATTCGTTGATTGATTCATCAGGTCGTTGAATGGATCTATTCCATTCCTGCTCGATTTGTGCAAGTCGCAACGGTGAACTAAATTGTTGTAAGAAGAGAGTTTGAAATGTATCCCAATGGAGAGGAGGACTATGGCTAGTGATGATTTGAGTATACCACTCAAAAGCAGTACCTTTCAAAAATTGGCCTATATTTTGAAGTAACATTTCTTTGTCCCATCCATAAGATGAGTTGGTATATTGATGGAGTTGTAAGAGGAATGGACGTGGTTTTTCTTCAGTTTTGCCTGAAAAAGAAGGAGCTATTGTAGGTTGTTGGATGATGACTGTTTGTCGTGCAGGAAGAGAGAGTAAGGTGTCTGGTGGAGAAGGAACATTTAGTAAAGAATGAGAGTGTATGGAGTTATTAGAAGAAGAGGGAGGTAATGGAGTTGTTGGAGCGGGTATGGGTGGGGAACTACGAACAGCAGCAAGTGTTGCACGAATTTCAGCCGTTAATTCGGATATTTGTGTAGAAACATAAGTACGAAAGTCCTGAAATTGGGTATCTAGGTGTTGAATCGTGTCATCTAATTGCTGATATTTTAACTCATGAGCCGTGGAGAGATGATTTACTTTCTCGTTAAAATTCTGTTCAAGTTGAGTTACTGTAGACTGTACAGTAGTTAACGTGGTTTCGATAGAAGTTGTGCGGGTTGCTTCAAGTTGTAGTCCATCTCGAAGACTAGTGAGATAATCATGTAATTTCTGCCCGTCAGACTCGGTCATAGTTAAAATAGGATCGTGCTAACGTAAGACAGGAAAATAGGAGACTACTAATAATAGTAAAACGAAAGGAAAAAAAAACAAAGAACAAGATGAAAAATTTCAGCAAAAATAATGTGCTGAAGTGAAGGAAAAAATGTAACCAAAATTCGATTGGTGTGATCGCCACGTGTAATGGAACGACTCACTCGTTCTGAGTTTATTTCAATAATGAACCACGATAATATATATGAACGCGGTATATATTCCCGCAGGGAGAAAAACGAGAAAGAATGATTAATGAATAGAACATTAGAACATGACCGATGTGCTCGATCGGGGTCATGAAGAGTAGTGACGGATAGAATCCGTCACATTTATTCAATATTTTATACCAGTATCTTTAACTACTGGCAAAACTGAAAGATTATCGTTGGTACCCGTTGCACAAGAATACTATAATCGCCTTCGTGGCACGTCTTTAAGATTGATAAATGGCTTTCAATTAAATCATCAAGTTCAGCAGATTCCAAAGTTGCAGAATCGTAGCAGTCTGCAATCTGGTCAACAGTCCGTGTCAGTCAACACAGAATGCTAAGTAGAACATCAAATCTTAATGTACATGCTAATACTTTCTTTCCTGCTTCTGAGAATTATTCATTGAATCCTAGAGATGAAGCTTTGTACCGGCTGAAAACTTGGAATTTTTCAACTAAAGATCAGAAATTAGTATTATCTCTGTTAGATGAATGGTACACAGGTAGAACCTTGAATACAGTCTTACAAGAATGGGAAAAGGTTGGAATAGCCTCCTTACGAAACCAAAAAGAATATATAAAGATTTTATGCTATAACGTCGAAGGATGGGGCACTCGTGCAGTTGAAGCTATTGACTTAGTATATAAAGTTCAAGCTTCTATTTGTATATTTACAGAAGTAGGAGAGTTATGGAACACATGTCGATTACCACATTTTAACACGTTCTATCAAAAGGGTACTAACAAGAATGGAGGAGTATGTATAGCAGTAGGGAAGCATCTGAAAGCGACGCGCATCGAGGTTAACATTCCGAACACGGTTATTATTGATATAACAGGACTAGCAGAACCAGTACGTATCATTGGTATTTACTGGCCCACTAGTCAACAACGTGATCTAGATGAAATTCAGCAGTATATAATAGAAGGAACCATACTATCAGGTGACTTTAACGCAACAGTGAAGGAATGGAATAGTCCAATAACTGATAGGAGAGGTGCGCGCGTGAGAGAATGGATTAATGAAAACAATCTCAATTATATTACATCAACGACCAACACGTCTAAGCGCTCCCTACGTAATATAGATTTGTCGTTCTCTAATATGAGTACTATTTCAAGTGAAACATTATGTTTTGGTACTAGTGATCATTGGCCGATTTTGCTATCATGCGAGAACATTTTTTTCGATACAAACAGCTTTTTTCCTCAGACAAATTGGAAGGTATTTGAAGCAGTATTAGCGCTATTACAAATATTCTGGATGAAAGAACAAAAGAAAAATAGTGCAGATGAGTGGTATAAACAATATATTCGCTTCATCGCGGCTGTCAAAAACAGAGTGACTCATTGGAAAGAGAGAGATAAATATAAACCATCGTTACCGACTTGTATCATCGAAAAATTAAAAGAAATACGAAAAGTGAGAAATAGATATTATCATTTAAGACATAAAGGAGTTTTTAGTGAGGAAACGAGGGTGCTTTTACGCACAATGACAAGAGAATCAAAAGTTGATATAGCAAAACATAAAAATGCTCAATGGCAAATTTTTTATCTAACATTCAAACATCATACGAAAAATCCGATAAAGCGTTTTGGACACACTTATCGCGTATATACAAATCACGATCGCTACCTTTCTATAAACTATCGGATGGCACTAAAATAATATCAACACAAGAAGGAATCACTAACGAATTATTCCACTACTACAGTGAACAGTTCAAAGTACCTGTATTGGATTGCTCTAATGAACATGAAGATCAGATAGATAGGATGTATAAAGAGTTGTTAAATAGATTAGCAGTGTCGAATGATAGCGTAGAAAAAACCAGTACTGCTGAAATTACTAGTATAATTAAAACCTTAAAGCCCAAGAAATCAGCAGGCTTTGACTTCGTGTCAAATTTTATAATTAAAAAACTTCCTCCAAGTTACATCGAGTGCTTAACTAACTGCTTCAATACATGGTTAAATGAGTGTCGTTATCCAGATGACTGGAAAATTGCAAAAATCATTACTCTAAATAAGTTGAAATCGGGCATCCCAAAGTGTGAGCAAACTCGTCCAATTTCTTTGTTAGCTACACATTCAAAGCTGTTCGAAAAAGTGCTTTTACTAAGAATTAGACGCTGGGCTGAAACAAATCGTTTAGTACCGTCAGAACAATCCGGGTTCCGCCCAAAATGTCTTCTACCAACTCGAGTACTTTCGATATATCAGGAAGTGAAAAACAACATGGCAGCTAATATTCCGACACTTGCCCTCTATGTCGATTACCAAAAGGCTTATGATCGGGTATGGTATGCGGCTCTTCTTTGTAAACTAGAAAAAATGGGTATGCCTCTAAACTTATTGAAAATGACTAGTAGTTGGTTAAAAGATAGAAAAGCTTACGTAGAATATGGTGAAATAACTTCGAAAATATTTAATATAAATATAGGACTGCCGCATGGTAGTAGTCTTAGTCCGTATTTATTTATAGTGTTTCACTCAGATCTGACAAATTATCTAGGAGCTCACTCATGTCATCTATTTGCAGATGATCTGTGTGTATTAATTAAACCTCCAATAATGAAAAACTTAGGCCCGATGATTGACTACTTAGAAAAAGAAGGTACACGAGTTTGTAATCAGGTTTTTATGTACTCAAAAAAGTGGAAGCAGCCGTTAAATGTTTCAAAAACTGTAATACAACTATTCCATACACAAGTTAAAAGACCGATAGTAAACGTAACAATAGACGGAAATAAAATCGAGTTAGTCAAAGAATTCAAATACCTAGGATTTACTTGGACGGATAAACTTTCGTTGAAACCGACAGTCGATAAAACCATAGGAAATATTCAGAGATCGCTAGGAAAACTGAAATGGATGAAGTCCGGTCGCAACATGTCATGTAAAGCTCTTCGTCAATGTTTCTTCGCGTTCACTTTTCCTCATTTCGCGTGGCTATTCCCGCTTTTCCCTCTCCTCCCAGAATCTCTACAGCATGTATTGGAACAAAAATTCCGTGTAGGACTTCGGCTGGTGCATCGCTGTCCCTTTGTTTCGGCGCATAATCTGTTTAAAGTCACTTCTGAACAGCCATTACAATTTTACGTTAAAAAATATATTCAACGAAGATTAAAAACTATGTTCACAACAGATCTTGGTTCTTCAGTCTTCTATGAAGATATATTTGGTTGGGATAATTTTTGTAAAAGGAAAAACGATCACCTTGGTCATTTTTTTCGCACACGTCGTGTGCGACAATTGAAAGATCGACACGAATCGTTCCTTTTAAAGTGGTTGTACTTTGTTGATTCGAATTAATAGCACAGAAAGAGGCATAAATGTAATCCTTTACGCAATTTTCTTTTTCTTCTCTTTTTTTTTTCTCTCTTCTTCGTTTTAGTCGTGCACTCTTGGTTCTGTTCTCATTCTCTCTTCTTTAATTTTCTTTTTCTCTCTCGTTCTTTTCTTTTAGCTTGGTCTTCCTTTTTCTAGCGGTGCGCTATACTCACGTATCTCCGCTGCCGCTTATCATCAGTACTTCTCTCTATCTTCCTTTTTACACTGTTTTATTCGAGTTTTCATTTATCTACTCTCTAAATATCCCTACAAGCAAAAATTGTACGCAGCATAATATATCGTTGGCACAAATTGTAACGCTTTGCTTTAATGATGTAGCCTTTCGCTTATACATCTATATTTCTCTTTTTCATATGTAAGCACTTCCGAGTGTTACATCCACGAGCATAATAAAAAAAAAAAAAAAAATAGAGCAAATTCTATAATAATCATTTTATTCATTAAATCACCTTTGAAACTTCTGTATAGATGTTAGAATTGCAATGCACGTGACGAAAACAAATCTATCTTTGTTAAATAGTTAGATTTCTTAAATATATTACTAGTCTCTCTCTCTCTCTCAGAGATGTTCAGTAAGACCATTATACCGAATGATGACGATATTATTGATAAACTGTCAACGATCTCTTATTTTTCTTTAACGTCTTCATTTGCTTGTAACCATCATGTATAAATAGATACGACTAATAAAAGAACATTATTTATATTAAACTGTAATGAACAATTCATACTTTGAGTCTTAATCATCTCTATAAAGTTCAATTAAATTTTTGTAAAACATCTACGAAAATATTTATCAGAAATATTCTCGAAAATTGATCAATGTTTTAATGATGTTAATAAACCGCACAGATATATAGAAAAAGGCATTAAGTAAGATGTTGTTAAATCAAGACTATTAAGATAAAAAAGACTCGGAATGTTTTTCAGATAAAATTGACTGTCACCAATCAAAACATTCATAAAGTAACGTTCTAAATGAAAAAAAAACGTTGTGTCTGTTTCAGAATTTGTTACTAGAATAAGAGATACAATAAATATGTAGTTGAAGTTATTTATATTGTCATTTATTTGTAGGAAATAGTACAGTTTGGATGTTTTTTGTTGGAAATACGAGCAAAATTAGAAAGAGAAGAATTTGTTTTTTTTCAATAAAAAGTATAACTTAGAAAAAAAAATCTTTGTTTTAATCTAGATATTGATTTAACTTTAAATTTGAGCATACTTTCGATAAACATTTTCTATAAATATATATTCAATATTCTATATTGATAGAAATATTTATTTTAGTTTATATTAATTAAGAAAAATCGAAAAAAATTTATTCCAAAATCGGTATTTTGAATATGAAAGGAATGGGATTGAATAAGAGTGTCGAAAAGAATTTTTAAAAAGTTCTACAATTATTTT